AAACACCTTTACAGTGTTACATTGTTAATGGTATTTTCCTCGATAAAGTCCAAAGATAGCACACCACTGGCTAGTCTGGTCACGAGTAAATGTTGACTGAGCATTGGTCTTCATGGATATGTCACATCGTACACAAGGCAGTTCACCAACATATTATAAAACCTACCAAATTTAACTCGACCAAACCTAATCTTACCCAAACAAAACTAATCTAACCAAAATGGGCCTAACACAGCATAATCTAAGCTAATGCATCCTAACCAAATGATATAAACAGTTTTGGCAATCGTAAAATAAGCTGTCGAAAAGTCTTGTGTGGGATTTGACAACACCCAACCACCTTTTTGTACAAATACAATACTCCTCCATGTGGCTGCTGCACAGACGTTTTAGTGCTCTGCCGCGAAATTCAAAGGGACAATCTGGCAAGTTTGTGGAATGATTTTATGCGTGAAAAGGGTACAGGGGACCCCTGAGAGAATGTTCATATGGACAAATGTTCATAAAGCGGAGACTGCATGTGTACTGTATGTACGTTTGTGTGTGTGTACTGTATATGTCTATGTAATATGTATGTATGTATTCATATATATATATTTTTTTTATAACAGGATAGCTAGAAAGAGAAGGATTTACTCTTACTAGACATATAACAAGAAGTTAAGTTTTGGCTGGTTTTTGATCCACTGTGAGAAAGCTGAAAAGGTGTTGTCTTAGCCAAAAGGTTAAATGTCATACTAAGTATTCACTAAAATTTAAGAAATGTGATACATATTTCAATACAAATTAATAAGGAATCCTATAAATTAATTCCAGTTTTCCACCAATACATAACATTAGGTCACCACTTTTTTTTGGTTCTAATGTAATTCATTCACATTTACCGGTATATTCGAAACTTAAAATATATTCGTTTAACAATAAAAAATAAACTGAGAGTTGCCACAGCTCGACTAGAATATTTTAAAATGATAATGTAAATATTATAAATTAATATCTCCGTTAATATATATTTAACATATACTGTAATTATTTAAAGTAAAATATGTAATCTACTGGTACAATGCCTGTAACAAGTAATTCATATTCCTTTTTCTTGCTACATTCTTAGCATGTGATGTTAATTATATATTTTTTAAATCCATAAAAATAAATATATATATATATATATATATATATATATATATATATATATATATATATATATAATATACACACATATATACAGTATATATAAAATAAAACAAAACATACACCCATACACACTCTGTACATACATTTATATACAGTATACATTATATATATATATATATATATATATATATATATATATGTCGTACCTAGTAGCCAGAACTCACTTTTCAGCCTACTATTCAAGGCCCGATTTGCCTAATAAGCCAAGTTTTCCTGAATTAATATATTTCCTCTAATTTTTTTCTTATGAAATGATAAAGCTACCAATTTCATTATGTATGAGGTCAATTTTTTTTTATTGGAGTTAAAATTAACGTAGATATATGACCGAACCTAACCAACCCTACCTAACCTAACCTAACCTATCTTTATAGGTTAGGTTAGGTTAGGTAGCCGAAAAAGTTAGGTTAGGTTAGGTTAGGTAGGTTAGGTAGTCAAAAAACAATTAATTCATGAAAACTTGGCTTATTAGGCAAATCGGGCCTTGAATAGTAGGCTGAGAAGTACGTTCTGGCTACTAGGTACGACATATATATATATATATATATATATATATATATATATATATATATATATATATATATATATATATATATATATATATATATATATATATATAATATAATATAATATATATATATATTATATTATCCATTGGATTCTATCCATTGTCTCCTCAAGCACTCAGGCTGCACAGTAGAGCAACAGTTTCGCTTCATGCAGGTTTTTGTTTCGATCTTCTTGTTATTAAGATGCTCAATACAGCAGTCATAATCCATCCAGGGATATGTGTGTGTGTGTATGTATGTATATGTGTGTATGTATATATATATATATATATATATATATATATATATATATATATATATATATATATATATATATATATATATATATATATATATATATATATATATATATATATATATATGTCGTACCTAGTAGCCAGAACTCACTTCTGAGCCTACTATGCAAGGCCCGATTTGCCTAATAAGCCAAGTTTTCATGAATTAATTGCTTTTCGACTACCTAACCTACCTAACCTAACCTAACCTAACTTTTTCGGCTACCTAACCTAACCTAACCTATAAAGATAGGTTAGGTTAGGTTAGGTAGGGTTGGTTAGGTTCGGTCATATATCTACGTTAATTTTAACTCCAATAAAAAAAAATTGACCTCTTACATAATGAAATGGGTTGCTTTATCATTTCATAAGAAAAAAATTAGAGAAAATATATTAATTCATGAAAACTTGGCTTATTAGGCAAATCGGGCCTTGCATTGTAGGCTGAAAAGTGAGTTCTGGCTACTAGGTACGACATATATATATATATATATATATATATATATATATATATATATATATATATATATATATATATATATATATATATATATATATATATATATATATATATATATATATATATATGTCGTACCTAGTAGCCAGAACTCACTTCTCAGCCTACTATTCAAGGCCCGATTTGCCTAATAAGCCAAGTTTTCCTGAATTAATATATTTACTATAATTTTTTTCTTATGAAATGATAAAGCAACCCTTTTCTCTATGTATGAGGTCAATTTTTTTTTATTGGAGTTAAAATTAACGTAGATATATGACCGAACCTAACCAACCCTACCTAACCTAACCTAACCTATATTTATAGGTAAAGTTAGGTTAGGTAGCCAAAAAAAGCTAGGTTAGGTTAGGTTAGGTAGGTTAGGTAGACGAAAAAACATTAATTCATGAAAACTTGGCTTATTAGGCAAATCGGGCCTTGAATAGTAGGCTGAGAAGTGCGTTCTGGCTATTAGGTACGACATATATATATATATATATATATATATATATATATATATATATATATATATATATATATATATATATATATATACATACACACATATATACATACATACACACACACACATATCCCTGGATGGATTATGACTGCTGTATTGAGCATCTTAATAACAAGAAGCTTAATTTCTGAAAAGACTCATTATTTACTCTATAACCTCCTCCTGTTGAGTAACTGTTTCATAATAGACAACTGTACTGCATTAATGTCCTCTTCTCAAACTGGTAAACGGTAATGAAAAGCTTCAAAATCTGTTTTTGATGTTCAGTGTCGGCTCTTGTCTTCGGCCATCGATTATTTACCGTTGATATTAAGCCACTTTCTTTAGGCGAGAGATTTTGCATGGATTACCAGTTAATGTTGAAGTGTTTTCTTTTTTAGGTATGGTGAGTAAATAAGTTGAGTCTTGAGAGTGTATGTCATTGAGGGACTTGCTTATATGTCAAGTACCTCATTGAGGTACGTCATTGAGGTACTTGAGGTACGTCGTATGTCATTGAGGTACATTGATTATCAAGATTCAAATCTGCTGAATTTTGAAAGATCAAGATAACAAAGAGTAATTTGACTAAGGTTACACACAGACATCACAATAGTGTGATATATCAAATGAACAAATCCACAAGGGACATGATGAGGGTTTGAACATACGCCTGGGATGATCCCAGACGTGGCTTAATCAACTGTGCCACCATGTCGTGGCATAGTCAACTAAGGCGCGTCTGGTATCATCCCGGACGTAGGTTCAAACCCTCATCGCGGCCTTTGTAGATTTGTTCATTTGACTAAGGTTGTTTGTAATATTGTTGCAGTTACCTAAATCTTGATAAATATTGATAGCTCATTTGCCTTTGATTTACTTGCCATAGACATTAGATATTAATCACGAAATGACTCCAGGTTCGGTAACCATGTTCCAGTCGCCTAAATCTTGAGACGTCTATATATATATTCTTAAGCCTCCTATTATGCTTTCCACTTTATTTACATTAACTTGAGGATTTCAGACTTGCTCCAGGTTTCATGAAGGTCTTCTGCATTTTGTCACTCATGTTATTGCTTGACTGGAACTTTGATACATTCTTGCCTGTTATCCCATTCTTTTAATACCTTACTATCCAATAGTAACCCAGTACAATGCAATGGTATATGCAGTAATGACAAATTATATAGAGAGCTTACCAGAGGAAAAGAGATTTATAATTATTAGAAATGAGACTTAGAAGGTGATTAGAGCTGAGGTTTTGACGGTTTTATTTCATGACAGGTTCATATGGTTACACAGTATACTGACACAAGTAAATTATGGGTTCCATATTTCCCACGTCATTGTGTAGCATGATGGAATTGACGTTTTTTTTATTGTAATCGGTGGACAAATTAGTCAATTTATTTCCTTTTTCCTTAAGTTGTCAAAATATTTCATTTCACATGGGGTAGCACAATTTATTATTTATTCTGCCTGTCTTTTGGAGTAACTTATGAAAATGTATTCAAGACTGGAATTAGTACTTCTGGACTGAAGTCTGAGAGGTTTAATGTCAAAATGGATATTGGTTAAATGTTTATTTTTGATTAGCATAAGTATTTGCTTAGATCTTTTTATTTGTTAATTCAAGTGCTGTAACTACAAAAAAATGACTTTTTTATTTTTAAATTAACAATTGTATTAATTTCCTTCAATACTAACATATGTACTCTGTACCTGATAACTGATCATTTTAAAGTTGCTGTAGCAAGTGATAATTTTTTAGTTCAGGTCCCAAGGCATTCAGGGAATGTTTGATGTATTCGTTTAGCTAATCTTATTTCAGGGATGTTTTGACATTACTGCAATAACCCTGCACTTACAAGCCTCCTTTGTTATCCCCCTGTAGTGCACTGACCTTTCTTTATTTCTCTTTCTGTCTCCAACTGTTAACTGAAGAGGGGTTCAAATTGCAGGTTTAAAGCTTCCTGACCCAAGACGGAGTTCAAGATTTCCAGGTATGTGGCTTGTGACTTGCTTACGCTTAAAGTTTATTGGCACGTTTACCAACCAGGCTCAAATGTGTATTAGTTCATTGAAAAATATTTGTGGCTCTAGCATCATACTTGAGGCTGCATGTAATATTCCTCTCTGTATGAAGTGTTCCCTTTGATGTCAATTGCACCAAGATTCATGCTGATGTAATCACCTTTGAGCCTTGTTTCTGCATGAATGTTGCATGCTATGGGGTATGAAGATTCTCTGCAGTGCATGTTGAACACGCATGCTGTTAGTGGTGTGCCTTCCGTATCTAATTCTCAAGTGTAAGAAGGCACAAAGTAATATGTAATAATTATATAAATTACCCTTTATATAATAGAAAGTTCACTTGTGTAATTCTTAATTCATTATTAATTTGTGACTTGTTAAACTAATGTATAATTACACTCATACTGCCTATGGTATCCCTCTAGTTTCCAAGTAAGGTCTTTTAAATAACCACAAGATGTTTATAATTTTGACATAGTGGAATGATCTCTACAAAATGATGCCCTTTCAGCATTTTCTTGATGTTAGAAATCAAGTCAGTGTTGCACATTATCCGTAGCTCTTGTAAGGAGCAAAATTGAAAGACTACTCAATTTATCAATTTTATTTATTTGTGTGTTGAAATCCAAGTAAATTACTGGCAGGACTCGAGCTAGAGACTGGGAGAGTCCGAGATGCATAGGACAGTTGCTGTGATCCTGTTTGTGGCACAGTGGCTTCCATGTGGACTTGGCACATACAACAAAAGTGGGAATGTAAGAGAAGTCAATATCCAATCGCATATATGGGGTCCAAAAATTATTTTCTTCCATGTCATTTTTCTCTTCTATGACATAAAGATCATGGTTGACGTGATCACTACAGTTGAGTCACGGCAAGTGGGTGTCCAGCATCAGTGTCATAGAGACCCTTTTTGAAACATCCAAGTAGGCTCATAATGATGCTAGGGAGGTACTGACAAACATTCAGTCCAGCCTGGAAGGACTACCAGGAGTTTCATAGGTGAAAACTCTGCTCCTCTTTGGCTTTACAAGTGAGTGTAAGGCATGCTCTCCCTAACTACCAATCAGTCCACCAGACCACTACATCACAAGCGCCACTAGATGGCAGCACCAACACAACATCAGGGTTGTTGACACACTTCTCTTTAATCTGGCCGAGTTCCATGACAATTCTGGCAGATAGAAACCAGTGTTTAGTTAAGTAAATTTGTTCGTCGTTTGAAATTATTTTTTTGTGAAGTGGACTCATGATTGTATAAAAATACTTTACGTATGAGGTATAAAAGTCATTTGTCTCTTTCTGTAGAGACACAAATGCAGGTCGGCGTTCAATCCCCAACTGTTCAAGTGGCTGGACACCATTCCTTTTTCCTGTCCTTTCCAAAATCCTTATCCTGATTCCTTCCAAGTGCCATATAGTCGTAAAGGTTTGACGCTTTCTCCCGATAGTCCCCCCCCCCCCATTCTCCCTGTAATTTTAGTTTAGATTTACCGTAATTGTGTACAGCAATTCATTACCAGTTCATTAACAGTTCCTTTAACTTCTGTTCCAGGTTTGAGATTGTGCACATTATTGTTAAAGGGTGTTAGGTTGCTACTTAAACTGCGTGTAGGTGCGGTCCATTCTATTTTCTCACTAGAATGGTGTAGTTGTTTGTTGCTATATTATGTTTGTTTCCCATAGTCATGTGCACCTTTCACCCTTGTTGTTTGATATGCAGGCTTTGGTTTGATATAGCCAAGAATTTTGTTCTTGGCATCCAATCCTGTGTTTCATTGTATTCCAGGAAGGAGGATCTGGTGACCTGTTAAGTAAAGGTTGGCCTTACTTTATGTTCCAGTGCTTGGTAATGTGACAAAGCACCTTGAAGACATAATTCACTGCCTGGAAAGTGTGACATGTACAGTATAAGAACTTCCAAGACTTAAGGCCAGATTCACGAAGCATTTATGCAAGCACTTATGAACCTGTACATTTTTTCTCAATCTTTGGTGGCATTGTTTACAATTATTAAACAGTTAATGAGCTCCGAAGCACCAGGAGGCTGTTTATAACAATAACAACAGTTGATTGGGAAGTTTTCATGCTTGTAAACTGTTTAATTCCTTGTTTGTTCCTGGTAAACAAAGCCAGGAAAGATATACACATTTGTAAGTACTACTTGTGTAACTGCTTCGTGAATCTGGCCCCTTGTTTAGATACAAGATATATCTAAACAACATACTGCACTTAGTCTGGGTTATATAATATGAGTGGGATCTTACGAGACTGACCTTTGTTTGAGTTCAATGCTTAGCAAAATGCTTTCTGTGTAGTCTGGACTTTATTAATTTTTGTACCATGTTTCATTGTTTGGCCAAGTATAGAAGCACTTCTATGGATTTTGCCAAACTACTTGGACTAGATGGTAAGACGATGTTCTTACATCTAGTAGGTCAGCATTCAATCCTCCATCGTATCCCAGCTTCTTGTCCTTATATACTTTCCAAGTGCTGTATGATTATAATGGTTTAGCACTTTCTCCTCGTAATTATCTTATCTTCAATGGAGTTCTGATTTAAGAGATTATCTTGTGCTTACTTATCAGTACACACACAGATCACACTAACGTGATGCATCAAATGAACAAATCCACAAGGGCCGTGACGAGGATTCGAATCCTCGTCACGGCCCTTGTGGATTTGTTCATTTTACTTATCAGTACTTGCCTATTAATGACTAAAAGGGGCTTTGTTTAGCCTTTTGTATTAAGGGTTTCACTTGAATATTCTCTATTAATTTTTTAACCTTGGCAAACAGGCTTTTTCACCCATAGGGTAATAGACACATGGAATTGCTTACCCACCAAAGGCATTACTTCACCAAGTAATGAAATAATGTGCCAAGACATTCAAAGTTCAAAATTCAGCCGGAAAAAATTCTCAGGCATAATAGGGAGACTTTTGACAAGTCACCAGTTTCCTGTCCCCATCAAGACCGCAAAAGTTGATGGATCAGGTAACTGGATCAGGTAAATCCAGGTAAATTTGATTTCACTCTACAAGTGCTCTGTTGGTGCCTGCTTGGTTTCTGAACCATTTCCCTTTCTTTGGGGAGTTTATCCTCTTTCAGCTAAACACTTGATTTTCTGCTTCTCCAAGTATGTTTCTGAGGATATGATACTTATTGTGAAGACTATTTACCTCTTGTATAAGGGTCTTATGTTCCATCTTGTTCGGTATATGCTTCAAAAGTTCCCTATGGTGCTGGTGCCGAATGTTAATCTGCTCTGACTGGTATGATGATGATCATTGAACTCGAAGGAATTATCATCACTCTGATTAGCTGATTGAGAAACTTCACAATTAATTAAAGAGAAAAAGCTGATTAATCAGTGAAATTAGCTGATTAAAGAGAAACTTCAGAAGCAACAAGGGATTTGCTCAGGAAGGCACTTTTCACATTCACTCAAAAGACTTAAGTGTTTTTACTACCCCTCCTGTAAAGTTTCATTATGGTTTATTTGTTGTTTAAAATAACCATCAATCCAAATGCACTAAGCCAGAATAGATGATTGGAGCTTAGTATAAACCAGGATAGATGATCAGAACTTAGTATAAGCCAGGATAGATGATCAGAACTTAGTATAAGCCAGGATAGATAATTGGAGCTTAGCACAAGTCAAGATAGATGATCGGAGCTTATCGCAAGTCAGGATAGTTGATGGGAGCTTAGCATATGTGAGGAGAGATGATCGGAGCTTAACATAAGCCAGGATAGATGTTCGGAGGTTAGTATAAGACAGGAGAGGTGATCGGAGCTTAGGATAAGCCAGGAGATATGATTAAAGTTCAGGATGAAAATAATATAAAAAAGCACACAGCACTGAAAAAGAATATTGCTGAAGAATATTGCAACTTACTTGTGTCAAGAAATGAAGTTGGAGTAATGATGACAATATTGCTGACTCGGCCAGCCATGACAGCACTGCCATAATAGATATACAATGTTTTCCTTTCTCCCACTAGTGGTGTTCTACTGGTCACACTCAACAGCAGGAACACTGGTGGTTGACCAGACCACACACTAGAAGGCGAAGGGACGACAACGTTTTGGTCCGTCCTGGATCATTCTCAAGTCAATTGTGACAATCGACTTGAGATTGTCGTCGTCCCTTCACCTTCTAGTGTGTGGTCTGGTCAACATACTTTAGCCACGTTATTGTGACTCATCGCCTGCAACACTGGTGGTGCCCGTACTTGCCACACACGCGCACTGTATGAGCACTAGTGTTCTCAACTGCTACTGTTCTCATTTCTACCTGCATTATATTACCCATTCACTGTATTCTTTATTTACATTCTTAGTTTTGCTTTCCTTGCTCCTGTTTCTTCTACTTTTCTAAGTATTGATGGTTACTGAGATAGTCCTTATTTTTTTTTTGCACATTGCTATACTGTCTGTTGATTGTTCCACCTGCACGACACTCAGGTCATAAAGTGAAACGTTTTAGCAATCGTTTCAGGTGTTGCTTAAAACATTTTTCTTGATATACGGTCATTGAAAATCTAATAAAATTTTTATGAATTCTGTAACTTTTAAGTTGCATGGAGGAATTTTAGTGTTCAGAAGCATGTCACAAATGTGTGGTTCATGCCGTAGTTAACAAGAAATACACAGGTTTGGTGTTTATTATATCTAATTTTTTCTCCAGATTGAGCTGATGCTTTTGACATTGCTGGACTTGGTCTTTTTGCCCTAGTGTTACCATCCTGAGTGATATGTAGGACTTGGTCTTTTTGCCCTAGTGTTACCATCCTGAGTGATATGTAGGACTTGGTCTTTTTGCCCTAGTGTTACCATCCTGAGTGATATGTAGGACTTTTTTTTTTTAATATATTGAAATATAGAAGATGCTAAATAGTCTTCCCAGCTTGGTACTTTCTTTCCTAATTACTCATTGACATTCTCTAGATTGATGCTTCTGCACCCTATCAAAGTGGGAACTTAGTAATAAATAATTAAGAGAGACCAAAGTTCCTCTCCTCAGGACCTCTAAGTAATTTTTAAATAGTTTAATTTTAAAGCTATTCATCTGACACACAAAGCAAATCTGTATTGCTTACTTAAATATTTTTTCACCATAAAAAATGTTGAATTTGTAAGATGTAAACCGTAGAGTTTTTGTCGGGTGTCCGCATTTAATAATCCACAGACGATAAGTGTGTAGAAAGCACTTAATATAACACAGGATGTCCTGTAGGTTGGGAACTATAAGGCCTGTCCTGTATATCTGGACCCATTTAAGGAAATAATGAACCAGGTTTTATTATGTATTTTATTTTATTCAGAGGGTTTGTACTGTGTGTTTACCATTGTGGCTCTTGTAATTGCTGTATGGTTCCAGAACTTTGGAATTCATAAGATTTAAATTGTAAATACTGCTGTCATATACAGATGCTCACAACAGATAATTACAATTAAATCTTAATTTTTCAAAATAATTGAGTTTGGGATACCTCATGGTTATTATACACTGTACTTATATGATTTTTTTTTGCAAAACAAAAATGATCTTTATTAGCACAAATGATAGAACACACAATTTATATAACTGTACTGTACCGTATTTTTATACTAAAATCTTGTGAAAATTAAATTCTTAATATATATTTTTATTCTAAATTGTTTCAATGTTTTACTTTTATCTCTTGATACAAATGTGAATTTACCTCAAAAATCAATATTCATCAATAATCAAAAGATCTTTTGATCATTTAGAAAAAGGTCATGCAAATAATAACTATCAAAAGTAAAAAAAGTGAAGAGCTTGGGATTTGAATATTCACAATTTTTATCCAGATTGGTAACCAGAATTTGTTAATAATCCGGTTCTGCTTGATTGGAACTCCAATTGTTCTGGTGACATCATCAAATGGTGACAGCATATAAACAGATGTTTAAAGTTTAGTATGAATACATAATCTGGTATTATAACTGAGCTACCATTAATATGCCTACTGCAGATTAGTTGATTAGCCTAGGCTAGTTTGTTTTTATAATATATTTTAATAATTTTGTAAATCTGTTAATGATAATACTGCAGTGTAGTGGGTTAATGGTAAAATTTTTGCCATAATTAAGGTGGTTTGATTTGAGGTACGGTAATTTACTTTTTTCAGATTTTTCCTCTTAAAAGCATGCCTGTCTGGCAATCTCATGGACACTTGTTTAGTTCTCTTGGATTGTTGCTTTGTTAAAAAGTGATAGGTTTTCTTTGAGTGACCAATGGTTTATATTTATCTATGTGCCGTGCGAGGTTTCCTTAGAGTAACCAGTTATCTATGCAAGTGTCATGTGGTCATGAAAGACTCAGTCAGATGTGCCTGGAATTGTAATGTGACATTGATCAGGAGTTTCTTGATTACATGTTTTGAGTTTGATTTTTGTGCTTGTAACTATTCTGAAATCACGAAGAGACTTAAATTTACTCGTTGAAAGTTTGTTTCCAGGTAGAATATTATACACAGGAAGTTTTACATATTGATTTTGTTGGCTGTTAATGATCATTCATGGGCCAGTGCAGAAAAATTGATTACGTCTGTGACAAGGAATGTGTAGGGCTGTTACTTCTGTGACAATGTATGTATAGGGTTGCTTACTGCCGTGACAAGGTATGTGTAGGGCTGGTTACTGCCATAACAAGGTATGTGTAGGGCTGGTTACTGCCATGACAAGGTATGTGTAGGGCTGGTTACTGCCATGACAAGGTATGTGTAGGGCTGGTTACTGCCATGACAAGGTATGTGTAGGGCTGGTTACTGCCATAACAAGGTATGTGTAGGGCTGGTTACTGCCGTGACAGGGTATGTGTAGGGCTGGTTACTGCTGTGACAGGGTATGTGTAGGGCTGGTTAGTGCCGTGACAAGGTATGTGTAGGGCTGGTTACTGCCGTGACAAGGTATGTGTAGGGCTGGTTACTGCCATAACAAGGTATGTGTAGGGCTGGTTACTGCCGTGACAAGGTATGTGTAGGGCTGGTTACTGCCGTGACAGGGTATGTGTAGGGCTGGATACTGCCGTGACAAGGTATGTGTAGGGCTGGATACTGCCGTGACAAGGTATGTGTAGGGCTGGTTACTACCATGACAAGGTATGTGTAGGGCTGGTTACTGCCGTGACAAGGTATGTGTAGGGCTGGTTACTGCCGTGACAAGGTATGTGTAGGGCTGGTTACTGCCGTGACAGGGTATGTGTAGGGCTGGTTACTGCCGTGACAGGGTATGTGTAGGGCTGGTTACTGCCATGACAAGGTATGTGTAGGGCTGGTTACTGCCGTGACAAGGTATGTGTAGGGCTGGTTACTGCCGTGACAAGGTATGTGTAGGGCTGGTTACTGCCGTGACAGGGTATGTGTAGGGCTGGTTACTGCCGTGACAGGGTATGTGTAGGGCTGGTTACTGCCGTGACAGGGTATGTGTAGGGCTGGTTACTGCCATGATTAGATGTGACAAAGGTGACCTCATCTCACCTTTGATTAGGTGTCAGTAGTGTTGATAATGCCTCTTGCTTGGTGTGTATAGAACTGGCTACATCTTTGATATTTTTAATTTATCTTCATTAATAAAATTGTTACATAAAGCGTTGCAAATGAAGTCTGGAATATTATGATGATGATAATAAAAATACATGTTCGCTGGCAACAAACCATGTATGTGATTATTAATGTCCGAAGATTCTGCGAACAGCGATCATTGTTACAGAAATTGAGACAAAGAATTTTGATACATGAAACAAATTTAATGCTAAATTTTGTTTTATGCATGGCAGTAGATGCTTGTTTTTTCATGTGAAAAGCTTCTCTCAAGATCTCTTAATTCAGTAATTGGAAACAGTCCAGATTTAAGGATAATTTGCATTTTTCAAAGTTTTTCAAGTTACTGTACTATGTAGTATACTGTTGTAGTAATTTTCAAATTATAATTAAGGTCTTATTGAGTATGAGACATAGACTAAGTAACAAGAACAAAATAATGAGTAAATTAGAAATTTTCTCCATCTTCAATGAATGTTCCTACAAAGTAATTTAATAATTATCCACTGATCAATTTACTCTTTATTGCTTGCATTTCCTGATTTAATTTAGTGTAAGCTTGTGAGTGATATATAGTAACTTTTATGTATAGATTTTCTTAACATTTTAAAGATTTCTGACTGAAGGCAGTAAATGAAAATGTTGAATGCGTTCTCCTAGGTATACGCACAGGCACTACTGGCATCCCGTATTCTTCAACCGGCTCAGGGGGGTCTGCCACCAGCTCTCAGGAGGATCTCATATCTGTACCCCATCCCACGGCCAGTCCCCGTCGCCACCCCCGGGGTCTCCAACCTCCAACCCATTATTCTGCACATACGACTCCATCACGAGAGGGCTCAGACCTTTCAACCCCACCAGATAGTCCTTATAATTCACAGCACAATCTTGAAGTTTGTAATGGTGAGAAAACTTGTTTATTTTGTTCAAGATATTAAATGAACCTGTTTTGTAAACTTTTGCTGTTGGTTGCTCATCCCTTGGCAAGCTCCTACTTATTTCTGCCTAGACCAAGGCAGATAGTAACCGGGTCAATATTTTGCACCAGTTGGACGCAGAATTTTTCAAACTGTTCCCTGTCAGGTCATACTGGTGCTAGGGGAGATACTAAAAAATACTCAATCTAGGCTTAGAATTTAATCAGAAAAGGGCTTAACATAACCTCAAAAGCCTATCCAGGTACAACCTAGCTAACATAAGCATCCACAAAGTCATTACTACTGACTGCTTCCCAAGTGGCAGTACTGATTGAACAACTAAGTATACTGCATCTTAACCTACACACACCCTGACTTGCCTGAGGCATTAAGTGAGGAGGTAGCCAACTTTTGTTTTCACCTATCTTCAGCTATTCATCTTTTGAATTGGGGGATTCTATACCCTCTAGCTTTATTTGTGCTAATGCTACCTCTTTTCTGCCTGGCGTGAGGTAGCCAGCTGGTTTGTGACCTGAAGCAGTGGGCCCGTTACCTAGTGGCACAAGGGAATGTTGCCAGGGGAAGAGTTTCATTTGTTTATGAAGTTTAGTTTCGTAGTTTTTGAATGGCCAAACTTTCTTCAAGGTAACATTGGATTGTTTTCTGACTCCTTTTATTATGGGCAGCTCGCCTCAGCAGTGGGTTGATTTCTGATCTCCCACTCACTCCCTGCCACATAGAAAGGAAGCCTATGAAATGTGAAATAAGTAAGTAGGACGTGTGATATGGTATTTGCTTCTTGTAGGAAGATATTGTCACAGATGTCCGAGGTATCCAGCATGTCCCCTGAGGAAGTGCCACCTTGAAAGTGGCATTTCACTGCATTCAGCCCTGTATTTTTACCAGCAGACAGAACATAAACAATATTTATATTTGCTTTCAAAAACATAGTAATACGTTTGTTTAAAGAAGTGTACAGTATGCACAAAGATTGCATGTTTGATATATTGATGTATTATTAATTAAATTTGTTGGAAATGTTTAATTTCTTTTAATACTAAGACATTCTTTAAAATAGGGAGGAGTGGGTTACGTCAGCCAAGTGGGATGCACCGAGGGTTAGGAGGAAGCGATCCTCGGTTACTGGAGCACACAACGCCTAGTAGTAGTCGTGGTACATCTCCTGCTCGCTCTCATAATTCACCCACAGCATCTCAGACAGATATTCGTCAGGGACCCAGAACTTCTAGGCTACAAGCGCCTCAGGTTAGTGGTCTTACTAAGTTTGTGTAGCTGATGCAAATTGCTAAATGTCCATACATCAACCTAATGGTTCCTATTAGCATTAAACTGAACACTAAATTGTTACTGTTAACAGAACGCTTGTCCCATTAGCTTTAGGTTCAACTACTGTACTAAATTTCTGGACATCACATTAACCATTCCCATTAGTAATAGGTTGAACACAAATGTGCAAAATTGGGTTTTTAGAAACTGAAAAGTTATGAGTACATATTGAAGTCATATGATGGTACTGAACTTGTATCCCAGTAATCCCCAAGAATGCGAGATTCATCCTTGGGGTACACAGCACAGCTTGTTTTCACCTATCATAGCGGCCGGCTCTGTTCTGCCTGGGCACGCTGTCCTCTTGCAGGGTTTTCTATTTCTTTTTGTTTGCCTGCCTGGTGGGGGGTCTGCCTTGGTTCTTGCCCCTTGTGTACTGAGTACTCTTCCTTCTTCCAGGGGTTCCCCCTGCTTGGTCCCCATGAGTATACATGTCCCAGGGGTTCAGTTCTTAGAAGGTTGTTTGGTAGACTTGGGCACCGGTTAGCAGTTCCCTGCCTGGGCTTCCCTGAGCGTGAGTTCCATCTCAGGACCCTGGGAATCCCCATGGGGGCTCATGAGCCCGATGGATGTGACCTCTGAGTCCCCCCCCCCTCGCTTTGTGCAAGTTCGAGGGTTGCTCTGTCCCCTTGTCTCAGGGTGACTCTCATTGTTTTTGCCTCCGTCTGCTGCCTGTGGGGTCGGTGGCACCTTCGACCCGGAGTCCTGCGAGTTTCGTTGCTTGTTTGTGACTTGGTTACCCGGTCTTGTGCTGACTATGCGGGTGCAGGCAGCACTGGTGTTGCACGTTGGGTTCAGGTGGTTGCAACGTGCTAGGTTGTTTGCTCCCCGGAAGTCCCGAGGCTTCCCCGTTTTGGTTGTTGTGTCGGTGCTTGGGGGTGTTGGTTGCTTCGGTTTTGTTTCCTTCTGTGCCCCCTTTGTCTTTCCCCTGTTGTGATTTCGTCTGATCCCCCCTCCCCCCTTCCTCTCTGCATCCAGATCCTATCTGTGGGCTCGGGGTCGGGGTGGGGATTCGATGGTCTTGAGACTCGGGCGGTCTCGAGGGGTTTTCCCTTCCGGGGTAGTGACGGAGGCATTCGAGCCTGTTCCTCCAGCCATGTTGTATGAGTCTGCCAGTGAGCTCCCTGCTTTAGTAATTTTCCGGCTGCCCCGGCTTTTTCTTGTGAGGCTGGGGCTATGGGGGGACGGCTTGGCCCCGGGGCCTGCCGTGGAGGTTCCCGAGGTTGGGGAGGGGCTGACTTGGGAGGCCTCGGGCCCCGTTGGACCCCGCCGGGGTTTTCTACCCTCTGAGCGGGGCTTGCGGTTACGGGACGTGGGGTTTTTCCTTTCCCCCCTTCTGCGTACGAGTTGTTGGGCGTCGGCCCCTCCCCGGGTTCGGATCCTTGTCCTTTCAGGTTTGTTCGGTTCCGTTCTATTAGTGGGTACTTTTCTCCGTTTCTACCCCCCTTTTCTCTGGGACAGGACTTCTCCGCCATGTCGGGGTCATGTTATGACCCCAACTATTATCGGGGTTCTGCATGACTCTTGGTCTCGGGTGCGACTGTGCCTTTATGAACCTTTGTGATTTTGTGTTTGGTTCTGTGAGATCTCAAGGATTCGGGAAGGTTTTCAATTCTTCCCGCATTGTTGGAATGTCTGTTGTCTTCCGGTGAGGCTTACCTCCAGTTCTTTTTGGACTCGTTGGTCCTCTTCCGTTCTTTTTGGACTCGTTGGTCCTCTTCCGTGCTTCTTCTTGGTTTTCAATACTGTCTCTTTCTTTTGTCAATACTGTATATCTCTCCGTGCTCTGTCTAGGCAGTACTAATATTTTTGCAATACTCTGTGTTGGCGCCCTTCCCGCTGGGGGGGGATTGTGCGGTATAGACCTCATGCGTCCTGCGCATGTGCTGTGGGAGTTTTAGTTCTGGACAGTGTACACAAGTGCTGGTGTTCCGCGTCCTTTTTCTCTCGGGTGCTTCGCCTTCTCGCTCCTCTCATCTCTCCAGTCAGTGCTCCGTAGATGCTCCTGGCATCTTCTCGGCTATGTTGTGTCGTGACACGTTCGTGCCTACGTTCTGCAGGTGAGTTTATGAGGTCTGGCGTCTTTTTCAGCCAGGCGCTGGTTCGTGGTTTTTGGATACGAATATCAGAACATAAGAACAAAGGTGACTGCAGATGGCCTATTGGCCCATATGAGGCAGCTCCTGTTATACCCATCCAGTCCCACTTGTATGCATGTCCAACTCATGCTTGAGTCAATCAAGGGGCCCCACCTTCACCATGTTACGAGGTACAATGGTGGAGGTAAATGTTATGGGGTAAATGTTACACTGTGTCAGGATGTTATGAGGTGACATTTTGCTGCAGTTTTGATGCTGGGGATGTGTGTTGGGGATTAGTTGTGGTGTTTTGTTTGGCCCTTCTTCCTGGGGCCTTCCTTGTTCGTCTGTGTAATTTTTTACACGTTGGGTCACGACCTCGTTTTTCGAGGTCTTATCTGGGTCACTCATTCCTTGCCCATCTTGCAGTGCCTGGCTTAGTCCTTCCATGTATAATGGATTCTCTGGACTCACCTAGTTGTCCTTACCTAGCTGTGCTTGCATGGGTTGAGCTCTGGCTCTTTGGTCTCTTTTGGCTGTCAATCGCCTGACAGACATGGCCTCTGTGTCGTTGGTCCTGTCCTTTTCGTTCCCGTTGCTGCCAGTCCTCCTCATTCCTCATCTTCCTTCTACGCTCGTGTCCCTCGCTGCTGGTGCTGGGGCGGTTTTTCTAGGCCATATGGCTTGTTATCCTGTATCCGCTTCAGGTCGCTTGACCTGCGGGGTAATATGTGAGGGGTAGTTGGATTGTTTTGCATGTCAGTTACTCATCAGGGCTTGACGTTTGCGAGAAGCCCTGTACAAGTTGGTTTACGTTTGTTTGTGTTGTGCTAATTAAGTGTCAAGGGATGTCATAGTTCTGATGTTAACTCGCCCCTCTCGTTACACATTGTTGTGTAGTTTAGTATGTGCTTCTTGGCTTTCCTACTGCCACCTTGCAGTTACCTTGCAATGTTTCCAGGGCTTAGTGTCTCCAGGGCCCGGTCGTCGACCAGGCCTCCTCATTGCTGGACTCATCACCCAGGCTGTTTGGTGCAGCTGTGCGCAGCCTGACGTATTACTTACATCCTGGTTGATCAGGTATCCTATGGAGGTGCTGATCCAGTTCTCTCTTGGTCACTGTGAGGGGTCGGCCAGTTTTGCCCCTTATGTGTCGTGGAGGCGTGTTGAACAGTCTCGGGGTCTCTTGTGTTGCTGGGGTTCTCTCTGAGTAGAGAGGCTAGGTTGGACTTTGTCCATGTTCAGTTCCCTGCTTTTGCACCGCCCCTATGTTTGGTTCTTTCCCGGCTTGTCAGGTTTGGGTTCCTGGTTTCCTGGCTTACCCTGCCAGTTGGCATTTTCCAGATCTCGCGGTGTTACTTCTCATGAGTCTCACACCGGAACCACACTGTCTCCGATCTCCTGGCGAGCTCGCTAGCATTGGGACGTATTCAGTACGCCAGACGTTTCTTCTCATTCCTTGCCGGCTTGGGTTCCGGCTCTGCTTGCTCGGTAGTTACACCCAAGGTTTGCCCGCGTCTCTGCCTCTTCCTATGCTTGATCGGTCCATGGCGGGGCTGGTTCGGTTCTGCCTCGAGTATCTCACCATCTGTTGGTGGTCAGGTGGCTTCGTTCCCACCTGTGTGCTGTCTCTTGGCGGCGGTGTGGGGTTTTCTTTGGCGGTCCTTCCTATTTCTTTCCGTCTCTTCGTCAGTTTCCTTTGTTTTCTTGGTGTGGTCTGGTCCTTCTCTGGTGGAGGTTTAGGGCCGTCATCTTGCCACATACTGTCACCTTGTCTCGTGTGGCGCTGGCGGAGCCGCTCCGGGTTGCTTCGGTTTTGAAAGTTGCCTCGGCACCGCTTCGCGAGCCATCTCTGGCGTGGTTCACATCTGGCATGCTCTTACGCCGCTTCAGCCATCCTGGTTCTTGGATTGCGTGCTCTTTTCTCTTCTCCTCGGTTTGTTGTGGCCCCTTCGGTTCCACGTTGTTTCTGAGGCTCTTTCTTGTTGGCGTTGGCCTCTGGGGGTCAGGTTGGAGTGCTTCATGCCCTCCTCCAGCGCCTGGGTTTCGGCTCTTTTGGTTCTCCTGATAGGTTTGGTCGCTTGTGGCCATCTTCTTTTCTGGCGAAAACTGGCACGGCTGCTTTCTGGAGGGGTCCTTGGGTTGTTTGATGCTTGGTTGGTCTGGCCGGGGGTGCATCGTGTGTTGTGTTTGGTTGTGGCACTGCGCCATGCTTGGTGTGCCATGGCTGCCGTGACCGGGGTCACGCTTTGGGTTGTTCCGAGTTCCCCTCTTCCCTGTTCCGGGGTGTGGTTCTCTCGGGTCGTCCGCGGAATGGTTCGGTCCTGCCAGCCTGCTGTCTGTCCCCGTGCCTACATTGTTCGTTGGTTGGCTCTGCGATCCTTCGTTGATGTTCCTGGGCCTTGTCGGGCCTGTGTGGCCTTGGGTTGGCTGTTGCAATTTTTGGTCTCTGCTTCGCGTTGAGGGTGTGCGTCTTCTGCCTCCCGGGTTAGGTCCTTCTTGTTTTCGTCTTTGGGTAGGTAGCTGCGAGGAGCCAACAGGGCTCCCCCCAGAAAACCAGCATTGAATGTAATGAAACACCATTTTCTGGGCGAGACCCGGAGGCTCTCCGGCAACCCTTCCTTCCCCCCCGGTTGGCAAATTTTCACGTGTTTTAATGTCCGGCCTCAGAACTGAGAGGTGGATTGCCGGTGCGAGGGTCTGGGGCTTCCCCTTTCCCCTACCGGGGAGGGGGAAGCTGCGCAGACAGTGGCGCGGCAACGTGTGACATCATACTCATTTGCCCGTTTCTGTTTGGGGAGTTCTATCCACTTGTTCAGCTTTTTGTCACAATTTTCACCAGGATAGGGGTTTGTTTTGGGATGCTTACCTTTCTGGGTGCCTGACCCGGTCGATGGCAGACATAGAAAGCTTCCAACCACACAGGGGTTTCTATAGGCCATTGCTCCTCTGTGCCTCTTCTGAGGGAGCCAGGTTCTGGCTCGTGGTCCCCGGTAGGCCCCACAGAACTCCATACACATGACTGATGCCAAAGACTGACATTAGCATATCAGCCTGGATAGCTCCGGGGAGCCTCCGGGTCTCACCCAGAAAATGGCATTTCATTACATTCAACACTGGTTTTTAAAAATCTGTTTGAAGAATTTTTTTTTAATAAACAATAAACTCAACGAGCCTACCTAGCATTGTACTGGTATTGTGTAAAAAGTTCATCAAAATTAAATAAAAACTAATAAACTGAAATGGAAAATAACCTAAAAATTGGTATTTTCAGATTTGAATTTTCCAGCCAAAAATGCAGAATTACAAATCCTTAGCAATATCTGTTTTAATTATATAACTTACTTTTTAAATACAGTACTATACTTTCCAATGACTTGTATTTAATCTGATTATTTTTTTCATAGCAAAAAGTAAATAATTTACTGTAAATTTGTGTAAACTAACCCAACTATAAATGTACAGACATTTATGAATAAAACATTTGCATTACAATAAAATATAAAATAATATACTAATTGGTAACTCACCATTATTGCAAGATTTTCTTCACTAAAACAAAAATATAATAGTTCCTGATTTCTTTCAAATAAAGCTCAAAATTTGGTAAAAATCTAGGGGCAATAAAAAACATTACAAAACACAAACAAATGACTGTATTGACTCAGGGGCCCCATTAATTGCTGTAGCAATTATCTTTCTTCATGCACCACAATGCTTTTAAGTTTACACTTTTTGGATAGATGCGAAGTCGGCTAAGTGCACCATCTCCAGTTCGTATACCTATGGGGGGAGCTTCAGGACTACCGCAACCAACAGAAATACCAAGACCTAAGGCTACAGGTATTCCACGGCCAGGCTCACGTTTGCAGCCTCCAAAAACAAGGTTAGTGACATTGAATGTAAGCAGTCACCCGAATGACAAATGGTTCCATATTTCAGTCTCCATTTTTTTATTAGGCATTACCATCTCATAGGGCCTCATAAGTTTGCTGTTGGTTTCTTGATATCTCAACTGTTATGGGTCACATCCTGGCAAGGTTTGTAGAGGGACCTCGATAAGCATGTGTCAGTCTTCCTGTCCCTGAGTACAGGAGACGATTTAAAACTGTAAAAGCATGTACTTTTCTATGTTGGAGACCTCTGCTGGCTGTTCAAAGAAAAACCAATAATTTTGTTTACTTTGCGCAAGATCTTCATTTCCAGATAATATCTTTACAACGAGAGTAATCAGCTGTATTGAATCAAATTTGCTACACACATTCCTTAATACAATGGCTGAGAGATTGTTTACAAATTTTCCTGAATTTATTTGAGGACCACTAACACTAATGGCCTCCTCCAAGACAGGAAGCCAACAGCTGTCGAAGATCTCCACATTTGCCTTGATCTTTTCCAGTATTTACCTTGCGATGATTTCGGGGCTCAACGTCCCCGCTGCCCAGTCCCCGACGAGACCTGTACCATAAAATTTAACATAATTTTGGCATTTATGGCTTTGGTGGATTGGCCATTCCATGGGTTTATAACCCTATGAGTGAAAAAGCATCTCCTGTTCTCAGTCCAACATTGTGACTTGCTGAGCTTGAAACCATTTCTCCTTGTTTGTGTTACATCTGACCTTTTTAAGAAATTGTCCAGATCAACATCCTCCAAATTGTTCAGTATTTCAAAAGTTTCAATAAGATCCATCCTGTCATGCCTGGTCTGCAGTGTTGTTAGCTCTGTGGCCCTCAGCTGTGCCTGACACGGGAGTTGACTTGGCTCTGGAATGATTTTTGTTGCTCGGTGTTGCACTTCCTCTAGAGCAACTATGTCCTTCTGAAGATGTGGTGTCCCTGCTTGGATACAGTAATCCAAATGGGGGCACACCAAAGATTTATTCAATTGAATCACTGCCTTCTTTTCCGTGAAGTCAAAAGTACACTCGATTATTCCAAGGGTTTGGTTAGCTTTTTTGACTGCTGCTCCTATCTGCTGTGCAACTTCCATTGAGTGGTGGATTTTGACTCCAAGGTCTAAGATCCAAAACTGGCATAACAGTGAGAGATTGTTTACAAACCTGGCATAGCAGTGGGGGATTCTTTGCCAACAGGTATAAGTGTGATTGTTTATATATAGGCATAACAGTGAGAGGTTGTTTATAAACTGGCATAGCAGCGAGGGATTGTTTACAACTGGCATAGCAGAGAGTTTCCTAAATGGCATTTGAGTGCCAAGTCAGTGATGCCAGGACTTGAAGCATAGCCAGCTAACTACAGCATTACTGTTGAGTGCATCTCTGAGCATTTACCAAATGAACTTGATACTGTACTGTGTTAATGGTATCAACTCAGATCAATTAATTCAATCAAAAACTTTATTCATAAATTATTTTAACATATATTTGTGAAAATGTTTGCAGAAATTACTATACATTAATTACGTGTCATAACAACAGCACAGCACATAGACATTATCATTATCCAAATCAGAATCAGAAACTATATTCATAACAGACTTAGAGATGATAATTGCTGCTGACAAGGACAAGAAACCTATTCTTAGGCTTAGCGAGGGCTAACTATGCCAACTGTTAACCTTTTTCAGGATGCACCCTGCAACAGTTGCCTAACATTCATGAGTTCCAATTTAACTGCTTGGTGAACAAAGGCATCAGGTGAAAGTAAATGCGCTCACCCATTCCTGTTCCACCCGGGGATCAAATCCAGGATCCTAGATAAACCACTCTACTACAGTACTCGTCTAGTTGTACTCGCCTGGAGTTAAGCTGCGGCTCTTTGGTCGAAGGGTTCTGGCTCAGACTACTACTGCTTGTGGAGTCCCATTGCAAAGTTATTTTCTAACATAGGTGCCTTGGGCTAAGTCTTTTTTGGCACTGTGATCTGAACCCTGGGAAAAACTGAGAAGGCAACTTACAAATACTGGCCATTCAAATTGGCATGCAGGTTTGGGAAAGTCTCATTCAGATTTGAGTGACCAATAATTACTTGATATCTGTAGCATAATCTTCCTTTGGTTACACAGTGCAATATAACAATGAATGGTCAGGAAAAGTTTATGGTGCACCTATTTTATTTGCAAGCTACACTACTGCATAAAGACATAAATACTATACTGGATTTTAGATTATTGAGAGGTCTTAGACATTTACACAGATATAATGCTAGAACTTGCTCAGCAACTAGTAAAAGTGTACCTGGATTGTACCTGGATGAGGTTCTAGGGGGTTCTACTCCCAAGTCTGGCCTGGGGCCCGGCATGATTTGTGAGAGCTTAGTCCAGCAGGCTGTTGCTTGGAGCAGCCTACAGCCCGGTTGATCCAGCACTTCTTGCAGAAAGCTGTGCAAGTTTTTCCTTGAAGACTTCCAATTTTGTTTTGGCAGTATTTCACAGACTTGCTGGAAAGATGTTGAACAGCTGTGGAGCTCTGATGTTCATACAGTGTTCTCTGATTGTGCTTATGGTACCTCTGTTCTTCATTGGATCTTCTGCATTTTCTTCCATATCGTTCACTCCGGTATGTTGATATGGTCTCCGTGGTGTAGTGGTAAAGCACTCGCCCGGTGCTTCGCGAGCGCTTTGGCATGGGTTCGTATCGTGGCCAGAGAGGATTGACCAGGTGCCAATCCTTAACTGTAGCCTCTGTACACCCAGCAGTGAATGGGGTACCTGGTTGTTAAATGATTTGGTGGGTCATATTCCAGGGGAAAAAATTTTGATTAAGTACCTGCCCGAGACGCTATACATGTTAGTGGCTTTACAAGAATGCAAGAACTCTTGTATACAGTATATAAATCAAATAAAAAAAAGAATAAATAAAAAAAATTCTGTTCAAATTTGGGACCTGGCCCTCCAGTACCTTCCTTGTACATGTATATTATTTGATACCTCTCTCAATTCCTTTCTAGAGAATATATTTTGAGATGAATACATCACAAGAATATGATCTGTCAATGTGATATGTGATATGATGTCAGTGAGAAAATATAAAAGCATACGAAGGGATTACTTGAGGAGTACAGGGTTGCGGGTTCGATCCCATCATGTGACTTCAATATTTACTCTAGTACTGTGGCAACAATGGGTGTCACACAATTCATTGCTTAGCTTCACTTGCAATGGAACATAAAATTGTTAAGCAACACACAATGTTTCTGGAATATACTGATACTCCTACCTTCAGTGGTGAGAGGACATCAATTTGTTAGCTTTGGTGATAATGGGAGTGCATGCTTACAATGAGGTATGGTAGTTGAGTCCTTAGTGAGCCTGTATATGAATGCTACATAGCATTCTATAGGAGGATATGACAGGTACGCTAATTGAACTCTTATTTGCAAGAGTACCTGCTCACCGAACACACGGCACCGCTTTCTACAACAATGTGCGACACAACACACTGTGGAAGAACAGCGCTCAGATTGGGAGGCTGGAGAGCTCTCCACGATATTTCTACAAGACACAACAAAGGCACATAGCTCAACCTTCGTATGTATAGATCACACAGTAATTGGTCTTTATTTACACACATACACTGCTATGAAGCACCCAATGCACACTTGTGTGTCACCATGGAGAGGTGAAGAGTAGATTGATAGAGGTTGGCAGCTTCAGGACAAGAGCAAGGCCACTTCAAACAAATATTCCCACTTAGTCATGCATGTACCCTGATTATGCACCACACAATTGTTTTTGGTTGAAGTTGCTGAGGTACGTTCTCCCAGAGTAAAGGATATATTGGGACACAAATACAGGAGGATCAGGAGGTACTGGAGAGGTGTGTGGAACGCTGAAATGATGGCTAATTCTCATGACATCATGGGATACATCAGTGCTGGGATACACTCCGACTCACTCCATTCAGCACCAACTTGGGAAACTATGTCCTTGAGATGGAAGGAGTTTTTTTTGTCTCAAATAAGTTTTCATCTTCAACCCATGTCTTATTAAGTTTTCTCTCGATTGGAAAAGGCTGCTATTGTCTACATGTTTTTTTCTATTCCCCCTCAGCATTTTGTATGTTGTGATCCATATCCACTGTGGTCCTTCACTCCTCTAGAATTGTTTGATTGAATTTCTTTAAGTTTATCTAAATTGAATTCCTTAAGAATTGTTTGATTGAATTCCTTTAACGTTCCCTTATAGCTTGGATTGCTTATTTTGGACAGTATCTTTGTTGCAAACTTCAGTTTTACAAGTAATCGTTTTGTGCTTTACAAGGTGCAGATTCCATGCTGGTGCTGCATAATTAACACTGGTTTGATGTATGCTGTCTAAATTACCTTAAAAAAGCCCTTGTATAGGATTTTAAATGTAGTTCTTATGTTTGCCAGCTTTCCATAGGCTATCAGTAGTATCCTGCTACCTGTAATGTATGTTCTGGTGTTATTGCAATAAAGTAGTAAATAAAAGTAGAATAAAATCTACTCCTAAGTCTGTTTTCTTTCTAATTTTTTTGTATTTGGCTTTTCATTATATGCAGGTTCCTTATGGTTGCCAGTTTCCTTATTCCAATCTACATTATTTAAATGTGGGGGGTTGAAATCTGGCATTTATTTCTCAACTCCTATAGTTTGTCAAGCGCTTCCTGCAGCACTTTATACACATTAGCTTTGCATGGTCTGTAAACATTGACATGTATGACTGCACCTCCTTGGGTAGGTTGTTTGTAAAGATTAGGAGCCGTAACAGAAGCTGTGCCATAACCTGAGAGACCTCACATGCTGCATCTCTTCTCTTTGGCTGTGACCCTTTGATTTATGTCTATCAGGTAGTCTTTTTTTTTATTTTAGTGTCTTTTTAAACCTCGCTTTATGATTTGAAGTAAAATCCTCGAATTTGCTAATATAGTGAAGTTTTTTCACAAATTTCATGTTATCTGATTTGACCTATTAATGTTTCAGTTACCCAGTTTGCCTCTACATCTTATTCATTAACTTTTTGTGAGAAGCAGAATTAGAATCTTTCTGACAATAGGAAAATACAGTCTATCCACCCTTCTCTGTAGTGTCACATCTTTGTGGCCCTGTTGTAGAACTATCAGGTTAAGTCTGATAGTATTCTGATAGTATAGTATTGATAGTACAGCTTTTATTCTGTACTTTACAGTTTGCATGGTATGCTTGTTAGTGACACCAGTCTAGTGTTTAGAACGTCTTGTCTGTCCACTTTGTCAAATATTGCTACTATATTATGCAATTATTTTTTCCAGATTTCCTGTCTGCAGTGATACATTGTTTGGCTGCACTGCCTTTGTTGCATCTAGTTCCTCCAGGTGTTTTCCCTGGAAACACAAACCGAAACTGTCTCTATTTTCCACTTGTTACAACTTGTAATAAAGTTGTTACATCTTGGCTTAATGTGTTTATGACGTATTAGAACGTTGTTACAACTTGCTATATTGGTTCTTATAACTGGTTAGGACGTGTTAAAACTTGTTCGAATGTTGTATCAACGTCGTAGTTTCGGTGTGTGTTTGGCAGGTTATTACCTCTTCTTCAGTGACTGCTTTACTGTCGTATGTTTTTTGCCCATCTGTTGTGTCCCATCCCTAGGTCACCACTCTGATTCTGTTTCACAAGCTTCTGGGAATGTCTTGCAAAGTTGCTCACACACCAGTTTGTCATTTGTCATTAGGACTTCCATCACTCTTTTTAGCCTTATCAAATAGTCTTTAAACCTTAATTATGTGTTCATAAATCATGTTATTCATCTCACATGCAGTACTATAGTCAGTACGTGAAAACAAGTGATAAACGATCAACGTAACATCCAAGGTGAACACTGAAGTCGTGTGTCTCGTATTGTCAGCAAAGTCAACATCAAGTGTCGACAGATGCTGGTCCAGATTACCAATATACCACCTTTCACATCTCTTCCAACCAATAAAATGTTAAATAATTTATTGATTTCAGTTTTTCTTACATTTTGCATACAATTATATGAAGAAAAATATGTTTTAGAATTTTTTTAATTTTTTGTGCATGCAGATGCAGCCATATTTCAATAGCCTTATGTTGAGGGCTAACAATATTTGAAAGAAAAATAAATTTTTAATTAATTTTTGTGTGTGTGCCACAGAAGCATCACATAGAACAGGGGTTAGGTGTCGCTTTCCTTCTTATGTGACTGAAGCAGCTTGGGCTGGTTCTTTGCCATTTTATATTTCTCAAACTGCTGTTTTTTTTTCATCTCTCCTGGCTCTTGTGTGCTCATTTCTGGTACTCATTAGTGCTTTCTTGTTAACCGTCATCCCCCGGTTTGTTATATTTCTCCCGTAACTTTCTAGTTCGGTCCTTTGCTGCTTATCTCTGTACTGCCTGTTGAACTACAGGTTTCTCCTGGACATATCAACTTCCTCGGTAGGATGAACTTTTTTAGACTTTTCTGAACATTTTGGAGGTACATATTTCATCATTTAATTTGGTGGCTTATCTCCAGTTCATTTTTCCATGCAGCTTCTGCATATAGTCTCTCTTTCTAAAGGTGTGTGTTCTTCTAAATATGCAGTCTGGCTCTTCTCTTGGTTCGAGAACAGTTTATATAATAAACTTAAAGAGTGTTCTATAAATGACATTGAAGCCATGACATGTATAAAGTTCTTCCAATCTTTTTATCACACTAATTAATTAAAAATTCAATAACTTCACTTGTAGAAAGAAAAAACATAGCCACTGTCCAGAAAGAAACTTGTCAGGTTCATTGTCAATGTTTAGAGATTAGAGGTATTAGTAGAATGAAATGGAAGCAAGAGATAGTGTCATTGATGTAATTTGCTGTATGGTTAAAAAAAAAAAAAAATTGATGACAAATTAATGCTTATTGTTTTGTTACCAGGTCAGGCATAGTTCAGCCCAGGTTCCAGGCCCCAACCCAGGATGATTGGAGGGACGGCTGCTTCTGAAACAAGCTTTACACTAGCCCACACACCCAGATTATGTGATTTATCTCGGGGACTCTCGGGATCTGCCACTGGACTCAAACAGGCTGTCATTGATATAATTTTTAAATCTAAAATTTTGATGTATACACTAGGTGATATTTAATCAGTATATATATTCAATACAACTTTTAGTTAAACTTAGCAGATACATTGGTATTTGTATACTACCGTCTATTCAGTAAGAATTTGGATATTTCCAGATGGAAGTTCGTTGTCCTCTGGTGTATGAATTCAAAATTTAAATTTTATTGGTTTGGTGCTTTGGCCGAGAGCCACAATGGACATTGGTGCATAGGTCACACATGTAAGTACTTTTCTCTGTAATGTTATCTCTTGTAGATGTATAGTACTTACCCATGACCTGGTGATTGCATAGTTAGTGAAATCTTTATACCTTGAATGGTGTTGCAATATTTGTTTAATTTTTACAGAAGCCATAAGAAAATCATATTATAAAATCTACCTAGTAGCCAAAGCCTTAGATGGCATTTCCTACTGATGACAGACCAGTGCTCTTGAAATCCCAAGGGAGTAGAAATTAGGCCGCAATGTGGCAACATTGTGATACCCCTAGTGGTCTCTGACCGCACATTCCAATTCTTCCTGGCCCTTGGGCTGGGCCCTTTTAGCTGTTGACAATAGAGAGGCCTTCCTTCACCTGCATCACGCTGTCTGATAGTCCTTGTTAGACGACAGGTTTGGTGCAAACATTCTTCGCATTATGTCTTTGATTACACAGGTGTAGGGGCTTAAAATAACGTCTAATCAAGCTTTTTGAGCAATAATTACAGGACAGTACAGTATAGTACTTCTAATCTATGATGTGTTTTGAATAACAGAAATTTGTGAAAGACTTTATAAGTTGTAAGTTATGTCAGGAAAAATAAAATTATCTTCGGGACTTCCAACCAATTCTGAAACAACACTTGGATGAAATTTAATGCATTGAACCAATTTTAGCCTTGTCCACATGACCAATGAGCTTTAGTGCAACCAAGTAACCAATAATAGTACCTGCTGATTTTTACCATAATGACCAATAGGCTTTTAGTAAGTGGAAGACACTTCTTACACTTATGTGTAAGTGGAAGACACATGTAAACTTTGAAGATGATGTGCAAGCTCTTGTTTTAGCTTACTCTTTTCCTTATGACTTAGTGTTCATGTTTAAGTTCATTGACAAATTGCTGAACTGTGACCAAGTGTTGGGACAATGTTTTGGACATGTTAGCAGGAGGAGGGCTATCAATGCAGCACCAGGGGCCACCAGCATTGCAGCACCAGGAGGCCCAGCATTGCAGCACCAGGAGCTAGCATTGCAGTGCCAGGAGCTAGAAATGCAGCACCAGGAGCTTGCATTGCAGTGCCAGGATCTAGCATTGCAGCGCCAGGATCTAGCATTGCAGCGCCAGGATCTAGCATTGCAGCGCCAGGATCTAGCATTGCAGCGCCAGGATCTAGCATTGCAGCGCCAGAATCTAGCATTGCAGCGCCAGGATCTAGCATTGCAGCGCCAGGATCTAGCATTGCAGCGCCAGGATCTAGCATTGCAGCGCCAGGATTTAGCATTGCAAGCGCCAGGAGCCAGCATTGCAGCACCAGAAACTAGCAGTGCTGCACCAGGGACTAGCATTGCAAGCACCAGGAGTCAGCAGTGCAGTACCAGGGACTAGCATTGCAACACCAGGAGCCAGCATTGCAAGCGCCAGGAGCCAGCAGTGCAGCACCAGGAGCCAGCAGTGCAGCAGCAGTGCAACACCAGGAGCCAGCATTGCAAGCACCAGGAGCCAGCAGTGCAGCACCAGGGACTAGCAGTGCAGCACCAGGAGCCAGCATTGCAAGCACCAGGAGCCAGCAGTGCAGCACCAGGGACTAGCAGTGCAACACCAGGAGCCAGCATTGCAAGCACCAGGAGTCAGCAGTGCAGTACCAGGGACTAGCATTGCAACACCAGGAGCCAGCATTGCAAGCACCAGGAGCCAGCAGTGCAGCACCAGGGACTAGCAGTGCAACACCAGGAGCCAGCATTGCAAGCACCAGGAGTCAGCAGTGCAGTACCAGGGACTAGCATTGCAACACCAGGAGCCAGCAGTGCAGCACCAGGGACTAGCAGTGCAACACCAGGAGCCAGCATTGCAAGCACCAGGAGCCAGCAGTGCAGCACCAGGGACTAGCAGTGCAACACCAGGAGCCAGCATTGCAAGCGCCAGGAGCCAGCAGTGCAGCACCAGGGACTAGCAGTGCAACACCAGGAGCCAGCATTGCAAGCGCCAGGAGCCAGCAGTGCAGCACCAGGGACTAGCAGTGCAACACCAGGAGCCAGCATTGCAAGCACCAGGAGCCAGCAGTGCAGCACCAGGGACTAGCAGTGCAACACCAGGAGCCAGCATTGCAAGCGCCAGGAGCCAGAAGTGCAGCACCAGGGACTAGCAGTGCAGCACCAGGAGCCAGCAGTGCAATACCAGAAGCCAGCAGTGCAGCACCATGTCTGTAATTGCAGTCATCATTTTTGGTGGGGGAGCCTGTGTTTTACTTTAATCTTTCATTATGATTAAGATAATTGTGATTCTCAGGTTTTCAGAATAATTTTGTATAGTTTTAAGCGGAATCTTATAAGTATCTTTGATATTGGTACTTGATGATGAGTATTGGCTTGTGTGTTGCATCATCTACACACAGGTTAGTGTAAACTAGATAAGAATTTCAAATTTGACGAAGTTTGGTGACATATTCCATAAAGCTTTGGAAAAAGTATTGATATAAATCTTGCTAATTATTATTTAATTGACTAATTATTTTGGCTGTACAAGTGAATTAAGTTGTATAATGTTTAGCCAAACATAATTTTTACCCCTGTCAAACCTCTCTCCCATGGTGAAAGGATTTGAATTACATTTAATGTTGGAAACACACCGCGTTCTTGCCTCCGTAGAAAGTATTCAGTATAAATGGACCTGTAGTTGTTCCTGTAGTTGACATTGCATTAAGCTTCTTAATATACTACTATGTGATATAAGTCAGCTTCAGGAATAAGAAATTTAAAAATTCGTCCTTATTCCCTCCCATAAAAAAAGAAGAAAAATACTGTATAAGAATTGTTTTTATCATGATGATGTCCTCTTTTTTTTCTTTTATCTTATTTTTTACTTTATTTTTATTTTATTTTAAATTTGTATAATTTATGAGCCTCCTAGAAAAATTGTTGTCGAGTCTCTCTCATTTAGAATTTTTCATCACGTTAGTCTTTTCATTCGGTTGCCAATGATGATTGTTTAGATTTCTCAATGTCTGTTTTCAGCCTCATTTTCCAACCATATATGCTTTGTTACGCTCCCGAGGACTGTCTTTCATATCGGTATTTTTGCTTGAATCCCGGTGGTGGAAACTTTGCCGTTCCATTTCTCCCCCCTCTAAAAGCTATTTTCCATCCTTGCGCAGGTTGGCCTACGTAGAATCTGCTCCATTCAGTAGGGTGCCTTTATACTTAACCTTCTGGTCTCACATGCTTGTCCGTGTTTGTGGGGGAGTCTTACCTATTTTTGGGAATTGCTCCAGCTACTGGACCTTGCCATCTTTCTTGGTGTGTTTCACTGCTTCTGAAGAATGACTGCCTTCATCTTTTGAATTTATTTAATCATTGGTTTGTTTTAAACCATGTAGTGAAAGCTTGAAGGGAAAATATAATTTTTAATATTTTGAAACTTTCTGGAAATTCTAGATATGAGTGAATCACTAATGAATTTTGTATTTTAAAGTATATTGTATAGTATCTAATTTTGGCTAGACTATTTTTGAAAGCCATGGGTTTTAGTCAGTTTTGACCATTTTTACGTTTTTATTCAGAATGAATGATTTAATTTCGTCTTATTCATAGGAGTCATATTTATCTCGTGTTTTAATAAAGATTATAAAGATATATGAAAGGTATAATGTAAACATTTACCTATTCCCATTAGACTTGTCTATAGTGTGACTAGTTAGCCTTGCCCCCAACACGCTGCCTTAAATTGAAAACGAGCTCTACTTACGGTGATATACGCATCATGTATAGACATTTCTATGTACGGCTGACAATGACTAGTAAAGACAAAACTGCATGACATTTACATTAGATAAAACAGTAGAAGATTTCTAAACAGGAAATATGAACATTATCATTCCTTAAAAATTGTGGTTGTGTATTGTGCAATTAGAGATGATTATGGTGTGGTATTATAGAGAAATTTTGATATGAAAGTTAAAAGGATAAACATGGAAGAGGAGATGGGTCATAGAAACATGGATGATTAGTAGGAGAAATTTGGATTAAAAAGTAATTGAGAAACTTAGATAATGAAGGAATGGCGGGGTAATGAGGATGAATAAGAAATAGGAAGATCATGGAAGAGTAATTGGAAGATTAAATACAAAAGGATAGGGGTTGAGAGAAAAAGTCGTCTGGAATTACTGCAGTATTAGTGAGATTAATCCCTGCGCTGCGCACCTGTTTTTGTCAAAAATTTCATGGTGCAATTGTTAAGGACATATTTTTGTTTTTATAAATGTTCAGCAAATGTTAATGTCAAAAAGTTTCCAAAACTCAATCATTTTCATTTCAAATCACAAAGAGTGATGAAAACATTAAAGAGCATTAAAATATGGCCTATTAAACAAATAATAGCACACTGTGCAGCTTAACCTAGCACTTAACCACTGCACAGTTAAGTGGTTAAAGCTTTGTGATGTTAGTGTGCTGTGGAGGAGAGGAGAAAAGAGCTGCTCACTGAATACCTTACCTTTAGTGTTACTGTGATGTGGTTCTGAGGAACAGTGTCCCCACGGCCTAGTTTCTGGCCAGGTCTCCTAGTTTGTTTGGGTTAACCAAGCTGTTGGATGCCACGGCAGACAGTCTGATGTAAGAATCACAGGCCAGAGTTAGCTTGAGGTGGTTCTGAGAATTAATGTCCCCCACAGTCCAGTTCCTGACCAGGCCTTCCTTGGTTGATGGTCTGGTCAGCCAGGTTATTAGGTATCATTATTGTGTGGAGTGGAGGAGAGAAGAATAGCCACATGCTGTAATATGGCTGGTGATTAAATTTCCTTATTTAGCTTGCTAGTAGTTGATACATTGGAAATTATACTGGCTAGCCAACTGCATAGTAGCTGATAGTTTAGTGATTGTAGATTGGGGGTAGATAGATGGATGACTAGGGAAAGATGGGTACAAAATATATGGAGAGGGCTAGGGAAATATAGGTGACTGACTGACTAGGAATTTACAGGTGAATGGCCTAGAAAAATATGGATAGATAACTGGGAAAACATGGGTACAAAATATAGGAAGATTGCTAGGGAAAAAGTGATATAAAATATTGGGAGGTACAGGGGGATAGCTGAGAACAGATGAGTGGGTTTCTAGGATAGTCTTCATACTCTCTATGGATACGGTACCCCCCACAGTTCTACTGTACGTCCTCAGGTGTATACCTTGTGATTAACAAATTACTTTGGAACAAGCACCGTAGTTGATCATTTTCATTGTTTTTAAGCCAGAGTAACTCAATAAAGATGCTGCTCACCTTAAAATGTTAGATTCCTTGTCAGCTCAGCTAGCAATAACCTTAATACTTAGTGGGGCTTCTGTATCATTAAAGGTTCACTGGGCTACCCTTACTGTATTCATCAACAAAATTACAATTTATAAATTTATAAAAAAAAAAAAAGATATTGGGTATTACTCAATTAAATCACAATATGGCACTGATCCAGAAGACTTGGGTATTTATTTTTTGTTTTAGTATGCTAACTTGTAAAATATTTAAGTTTAATTAGATTTGCAGTTTGCACATTTGTATAAGTTGGCTTGTTTACTGTTAAACTGCAATGACTTTTTGTAAAAGGATTGATAATTCCAGTATTTGTTTGCATGCAAAAACAACAAAATTAGCTGATCAATCAACCAGGCTGTTATTCATACGTCAGGCTGCGAACAGCCTGGTTGACCAGTCCAGCAACCAGGAGGCCTGGTCGGGGACTGGGCAACGGGGACCTTGAACCCCGAAATCATCGCAAGGTAACCACAAGGTATAAAGTCAGCAGTCATGAGCACTGCCAGGTAGGGAATTTATTTTTTATTTATTTATTTATTTATATGTACACATACAAGAGTTCTTACATTCTTGTAAAGCTACTAGCACTCGTAGTGTTTCGGGCAGGTCCTTAATCCTAATTTTTCCCCAGAATACGACCCGCCAAATAGTTTAACAACCAGGTACCCATTCGCTGCTGGGTGAACACTTAAGGATTGGTGCCCAGGCAATCCTCCCCAGTCACGATACGAACCCAGGCCAAAGCTCTCGGGAAGCGCCGAGCAAGTGTTTTACCACTGCGCCAAGGGGACGGTGGCACAGACACTGTTTAGACGTTTTTTCATTTGTATTTTGTTGGTGAATCTATGGTTAAGATTTCTTCTGGTGC